AAGCCCAGGAGCAGAAGTCAGCTTTGAGCTCCGTGCCAGGAAAGGGAATTGTCCCTGAATTTCACTGGGACCAAACTTAGGTGTTGTTTTTATTCACAATAAAAATAAATCATGCCTCAAACAAAATTATAATTTCACTAGAAAACAAGAGAAAATGGTCAACTAGAATCCAAACATCACAATACAGCGGTGACTTTTTTTAAAGTTTCCTTTTCAATCTTCATGCCTTCGTCATTTTTATTCAGTTGTTACTAAAGATAAATGTTCGGTCCTCACATTTCTAATATAATTATCCTAATGTCTTCACAGCAGTCTACTGAGAATCATACTAATAAAAAGACAAAAATCAAATAGGTACAAAAACACAGCCAGCATTTTGATTTTCTAAGAAAAATGCCTAATTTTCATAAAAAACACAGAACCATATTATGTTACCAACCTCAAGACATTGTGATTCACAGATTGTTGATTTAGTAAAATAAGTTTTGTAAAATTTCTTTCTGAATGAGACCCAATTTATACCACCACTAATGAAAATCCTTAAAATACTATACCACACTTGTAAATTCTTTAGTCAATAGTTATTGGTGATGATTAAAACAAAAGTAATGAAAAATTTAATCTGTTTTATTCAAATGGAGAATGGGTATAAAATTGCTTACTCCATATATAAAAAACCAAACATCACTTAGATTTTCAGTGATAAATATGTAATCTAGAAAGTACATCTAAGCTGATTTCATATTGTCTTCTACCATTTCAGATTCCCATAATTATCCTAAAGAGAACTTACCAGAGACTAGTACTTTTAAGAGTGATTCAAATGGAATAGGAAGGAAAAGTAGCAAGGACAACAATATTTCCTATGGCAATATAAGTTCAATTCTGAACAAATATTTTTCATTGAAAGTTTCATTGCAAAAACCCAAGTACAGTGTGGTGCTGGCAGGAGGAAAGGCATACAAATAAAGGAACAGAATTGGGAGTCCAGGGGCCAGTGCTGTGGTGCAGCAGGTAAAGCAGCTGTCTGTGGTGCCAACATCCCATATAGGGACTGGTTCAAGTCCTGGCTGCTCCACTTCTGATCCAGGGTTCTGCTAATAGCCTGAGAAAGCAATGGAAAATGGCCCAAATACTTGGGCCCTGCACCCTTGTGGGAGACCTAGAAGAAGCTCCTGGCTCCTGGCTTCAGATTGGCCTAGCTCTGGCCATTGCAGCCATTTGGGGAATGAACCAGTGGATGAAGATCTTTCTCTCTGTCTCCTACCCCCCTTCTCTCTCTCTGTAACTCTGCCTTTCAAATAAATATACAAATCTTTTTTAAAAAAGAAAGAATTCTGTCTCTCCCTCTCTAAAACTCTGCGTTTCAAATACATAAATCTTAAACCAAAAAAAGAATGGGCGTTCTGAATTAAATCCTTACATTTATAATCAACTGATTTTCTACAAAGTACCAAAACAAGTTAATGGATAAAGGATAATTTGGGCTCCATATGCAAAAAATAAGAAAATAAAATGAATGTAAACCCAAACTTCACTCCACAAAAATTAACCCAAATGGATCAAAGACTAAAATGGAAGAGCTAAACCAACAAAACTTCTAGAAGAAACCTCAGAGAAAATCCTTGTGAACTCTGATTACAAAGAAGTTTTTAGAAACATCAACATCATGAACTTAAAAAGAATAAACTGAAAAATTAAACTTCATTACCATTGAAAACTTGATCTTCAAAGGACACTGTTAAGTTACAGACATACAATGTATCCCATATTCCTACCATTTATTTTGTTGTAGGGAAGAAAAGATACCATTAAAGACAAACCAGAGATTTTAAGGAAATACTTGCAAATCATAGAAGCAATAAAGAGCCTATATCTAGAGTAGAGAGAGAGGGAGATACTTCTATAAAGATGAGCCAAAGATTTGAATAGGCATTTCCCAAAGGAAGATATAAAAATGGCTAAAATAATTAGAATCAAGTAGATCAATTATTAGAATAATTAGATCAATTATGAGAAGGAAAGTTTCACAACTATCATCTTTTATCCTTACCCAAAGCTACATAACAGAATGATTCCACCAGAAAGTCCAAAACAAATAATTTTGGATTTCTCATATTACAAATTTTCAAATCACCACAGAAAAATGACAGTAACATCCAGCTTGGGCAAGAAATAAAGCTATCTCTATTTGTAGAGAACACAGCCTACTATACAGAAAATTCTAATTAAATCACATACATAATAAAAAAAACCTATTAGTCCTGACAAACAAGTTCACCAAGGTTGCAGGAAACAAGATCAATATACAAATACCAATTGTATTTCTGTATGCTAGCAATGAATAATCTGAAAATGAAATTAAACAACAACTCTATTTAGACGGGCACCAAAATGGGAAAAAAATAGCATAATTAGCACATTGGTATGAGACTTATACTCTGGGGCAGGGGGAACTACTGTTGAAAGAAATTGAAGACTAAAAGAAAAATGCAAACATATCCCATGTTCATGGATCCAAACTGTTAATACTGATCCAGAGATTCAATACAATCCCTATCAAAAGGCAGGTTCAACATTCAATAAAATTAATTCATAAATCCATCAAGTGAATGAGCTAAAGAAAAAAAATAATACAATCACATCAATAGTTCCAGAAAAAGCATCTGACAAAATCCAATGCCCGTTCATGATGAAACCTCTTAGCAAAGCAGGAATACAGGAGAACTTCCTCAACTTGATAAAGAGCATCTATCTACAGAACCACTATGGCTAACATCATACTTCACAGTAAGAAATTCAAATGAGTTAAAAACACATATCACACAAAAACCTGCAAACGAATGTTCCAGCAGCTTTACTCGTAACTGCCCATCTCGACTGGATATCATCGAGATGCCCTTCAATAGGTCAATCAACACACTGTGAAGGAACCATACAGTGAAATATTATTCAACACTAAAAAGACTTGAGCTCTCACACCACTGAAAGATGGCTGGAACGGAAAGCCAGCTGGGGTTTTTGTGAGAGCAGCAGCTGTTACCCCATGTTGGTAAATTAAGCTCGGGACCGCTTTCTGATAACCACTCCTGAAACAACTGAATTTACAGTCAATAGCAAGATTCTGCCGCGGGCTGCATGCTGCTGCTAGCTCCCTCATCCGCCAGTGACTTGAACTACAGGCTCTGGGAAGCCTTCCTTTCTTTTAGACACAATCCTATTTGTTCTCATTAAACAATAGCTTCCTCTGCCCGTGGCTCTACCACAAGCAGGATCCAGAGTTCCATCTCGTGGTTCTTAGCCCAGTGACACATGCCCACGCTGTTCATCAGGCACCTGAGCACCTACCTGGAGAGAACAGGAACTCCGCCCCAGACCTCACATCTGTCCAACAGGATGTCTCAGGTGGATGTGACCTACGATGTAACTCAGTAAGAGCCCAGGAAGTCAAACAGGAAACGCTGGTTCTAGGTTGAATGAAGTGAAGTTCTTCACTTGTGCACATGCAAGCATGCCTGCTTGCACATCTGGGCGTGTTTCTGTGTATGTACGTCCCCTCTCCCAGACTCCCTGCCTTCGCCTCTCGGATCTGGTCTCTTCTGCACTGACTTCATACCCAGAAAGGCTTTCCCTAGCGCCACTGGTGGCTCCGGGTTAACAGAGTCACCGAAAGGAAAAGCCTCTCTCCGAAAGTCACCTCGAGAGTCCTGCAGCCTCTCTACAGCCTGGCTGCTGCCCCTCACTGGCCAGGCTCGCGTCCCGTGGCTGAGGGTCAGCAAAGTCACCTCCTTTAACTACAGAGGCTGAAAATGCAGCAAGGCTCCCCACCTGGGGAAACCCTGGGTGACTTCTAAGTGGGTGAAGAAGGCTTGAAGGGCCAAGTCAGCAAACAGCCAGCACGTTCAGGTCCTCCCAGGCTGGTGGCTTGCTCCTTTCTGGTGAGTGTTTACTAACTGTTATGTCGCACGCTGTTACTATTCCAGCACGAATCGTGGGCAGCGCCTGCACTTTCTCAGAATAACTTATTTTCCACCTTACTATCACAGATGGGGTTGTTTACGCTGCTGCATTTTCCCCAGTGCACACTGAGGCTATTTTGCATTTATTTAAATACCTAAGATTTTCAGGACTTTTCTCTTCCCCGTCCCACATGAATATCTTTAAGAACAAATGCACACACTACTGAAATTGAAGGTGTTTTGGGGAGATAAAGAGTATGGGGGCTGGTGCTGTGGCGCAGCGGGTTAAAGCCACTGCCTGCAGTGCCATCCCATATGCATGCCGGTTCAAGTCCCGGCTGCTCCACTTCCAATCTGGCTCCATGCTAACGTGCCTGGGAAAGCAGCAGAAGATGGCCCAAGTCTTTGGGCCCCTGCATCCTCATGGGAAACCGAGAAGAAGCTCTTGGCTCCTGGCTTTGGACTGGCTCAGCTCTAGCCACTGCGGCCATTTGGGGAGTAAAGCAACAGATGGAAGACCTCTCTGCCTCTACCTCTCTCTGTAACTCTGTCTTTCACAGAAATAAAATACATTTAAAAAAAAAAAAAAAAAAGAGTACACAAAACCTTGCAGAGCCCATGTCTCAGAAGGACCCAGCAGCACTGGCAGGGTCCTGGCCCCGCCCCTCCCAGTGTACAAGCACCCTTGAGGACCCGTCTCCAAAAGTCACTACAATGCCAGGAATCCAGACACTGCCTCCTCTCCAAGATAAAGCCCGGAACCCTGAGGTGGCGGGGGGTGAGCTCTGCCTGTGGCTTTCTCCATACCCATGATTCCAATTTTCCTCTCTTCTCAGGGAGGAGAGGATGAAAGCGAATGAGAGGAGAGGGAAAGGGAGAGACGCAGAGGAAGACAACCTCGACACAGGAGACTGCCCGTATCTGTCTGCCCCTCTCACACGGGGAATCGTTATCCGGGGCTATCTCAGAACCTCTGGAAAGAACAATGTGTCCCAACCCAACCCAACCCGTCTTCTCCAGCCTCGCGTATCCTATACCAACCTGCTGTGGCTTGAGTTCGTCTCTCGGCTTTTCACAGGAGCTTTCTTGTATGGATTTTCCATCCAGCAGATGTTTCTGTTCCACGACTGGGCAGATCCAACCACTGCATGCTTGGCTACAGCGCGCAGCGGCTCACCCACGGCAGCTCCAGCCTGTAGGGGCAAAGGCCAGAAGCCATTGTAAGAATTCACGTCCACAAGCCTCCCCCGCCCCCTTTCTCTCCCTCCCTCCCTCCCTCTCTCTCTCTCCCTCTGTCTCTCTCTCTCTCTTCCTCTCTCTCGGGTATATATTTGGCAGGATAACCTCCAACATCTTCCAAATGTTTAAAATCATTAACGACCAGCGAAGGCAGCTTACAAGGTATTTCTTTTGCAGGGAGAGCTCAAGCACTCGATCGTTATTGAAAAGGTATGGCCGAAGGATTCCGCGCTGCTTGTGGAAAATTTCAAAGCCAGATGTTTTAATTAACCATGGAAAACACAAGCTACAACTAAAATTTCATGAACACACTGATCTGCCCCATGGAAAACCACAGGAATGCTCTGGCAGGGCTCAGCCTGAATTCTTGGGACACAGAGGGCTGGAATCGTTCCCCTTAGGAACTCGGACAGAAAATTAACTTGCTCAATATGTTTCAGAGAGTAAAATGAAACCCAGATTTAATCTCAATCAAATATAAAAACATTTTAAGACTTCAAAGGGCACCACCGAAAGAGAACCAGGGCCCATAAAAGGATCCTAATGTGGCTGAGGATTGAGCAGGCATTTACAACGCGATGTGAATGGTAAAACAGAGCATTCGGGAGAAAAAAAATCGAGAAGGGAATCTTTCCATTCCTAATGGAGGAGAGGCTATAAGAAACTGACATTCAACAGGTGACCATAAATATTATCAACTGTATAACACAACGGGGCAACAGGAATCCCGGGCCCACACTACCCACCAGGGCACTCAGGAAAAAAGGGCAGAACAACTGATGCTCACTGATGTTGCAGCTGCCAATGGGGGCCCAGAAAGCGCAAATGAAGGAATCACAGGAAAGCAATTAGTGAACAAGAGCTAACAGATGAACAAGTCTTCACCTGCTAATTGCAGTAATAACTATAACATCTACAAATGCTAACCACTGAAAGTCCACTCAAGCGAGAACAGAACAGTGTCATTCTCTCACACTGGGTCCAAAATTCTATGTCCATAAATCAAAACAGTCTGTCATCAGCGTGCCAGGCATACTATGACATTGACATTGATACTATGACCCTCAGCGGAGACCTCAGTCTCAAAAAAACCACCTCAAAAGGAACACAGCAGGAAAGAAGTGAGGTATCAAGTTATGTATGTACTCAAATCCTATGATCCCAGCCTTGTGTATAATCTAAAGACACCTGCGTAGAGACCATAGCATTTCCTTTTTGGTATTTCCAAGTTTTCTAAAACTAATATGCACTGCTGTGGAATTCGAATGTTTTAGAATAATGGCTGTGACTTTTGTTTATTGAGAATATAAATCAGAAATGGGACACCTATGGCACATTAGCCTCATCTGTGAGTTGCTTCTGATGGAACAGTACAAGCTAATGCATTAAGAAGTGTTCCTTTATCTGTTTATTTAGAACTTCAAGACCCAAATGTCCAGTGACATTTCCAGGGCTGAACAGCACTTTCCTAAAAATACAACTCTTTCTTAGCAATTCTGCAAATGTGCCGCTGAGTGGAGAGATGACCACGTCCGAGTTTCTCCATCACAGCCACTCCACAGGACTGTGGCTTCACCGAAAACGTGCAGTGAGCCTGGCAGGTGAGACGTGCACGTGGGTTCAGCTCCCGACTCCAGCTCCCAGCTCCAGCTTCCCTCCAGTACAGACCCCAGGAGGCGGCAGTGATGGCTTTAGTAACTGCGTTCCCACCACCACATGACAGACCTGGATCGTGTTCCAGCCTGGCTCTAGCCAGTGAGGGCATTTAGGGAGTGAACCAGCAGATGGGAGCTCCATCTCTCTGCCTCTCAAATAACGAAAAAAAAAAATTAATGTCAGGTTGTCCTAAAATTTTTAAATTAAAATCTCCTCCTCTTATGACATAACAGTTTCACAGGAGCAGGCCCACACTCCATTGCTGCTGTTCTTACTATCCCAAAGTGCACAAAACACAACGCTGGAATCTGAAAGCTGGCGACCCTGGCAATCTGCAGCTTCCCAAAGGCCACCCCTGGAGAGGAAGAATGTCTTTCCCCAGCCACACACACAGTGCAGCAGGAGGGGGAGCCCAGCTGGCCAACTGACCACATGCTTTTCCACCACCATGACCTCTTCGCACACACACTTGGGAATGAAGTGTGTGTGAATCACACCACGTGTTAAATGCCTATCAGCAGAAAACCAGGACAGACAGAAAGTTGTTCTACCAAAAATGAAATGCATGCAGGAAAAAGAAAAAGTGAGGACCCAACCCCAGGCTAAATATTACATGGCTCCGGTAAAACACGTTTGATCTAAGGAACAATGGTTGTATTGTGCCCGCATAGCAGGTGTCCTGAACAGAAACTGCCTATCACACCCAAAGTCTTTTGGTCCTAGTACCAGCCCTGTTGATAACAGCACAGTCATGCTGCTACAACGGGGACAAAAAGTTTTCAACAAGGTGAAACTACACCTGCGCCAAGACACCTGAAAGAGACACGCTCACCCGTGTTACAACTGCTCTATGGCATGGTATCCTGGCCTCTTCCAGGTCTTAAGGGAAAAACATTCATGGCACCAAAAATTAAGAACATGAGTCACAAGGGACTAAAGTAAGCTGAATCTTTGTAGCTTATGTTTTGCACAAACTTAGAGAATGAGCAGGTTTTTTTCCTCTTTTTGTTGTAATCACTTCTTTGAAATGGTGCTCACCTCTCTTTCTGTCTCAGCCTCTACCTGCAGTACCCACGCCCGGCAAGCAAGGGGAGGGAAGAGGCCAGATGGCGATGACAAGCTGGGAGACGGAGAGGCTGTGACGGAGCTCACTCACCCCAGCCTCCCTTCCCCACTGCGTGGCAGGACAACAAAGGCACGCACTGTGAGGATGCTGAGAAAGAAGCCGCGCCCAGGGACGAGAGAGTCCGGCTTTGGAGGAGCCCGAGCAAACATACCGACCCTGCCCACCTCAGCTGAGATGCTGGCATCAAAAAGAAAATGCTTTCTTCCCCTGCCCCCAAATCTGCTCCTAAAATCCCCATCATGCACTTCCATGGCCGGGTCCTAGAGGGGACACGGAGTAGTCCCTGATTCATTCCCTGCTGTGCCCTAGTCCCAGTGCCAAGGGCTAACGTCCACAGCAGGCAAAAGAATCAGATTCTTGTTGGTATTTAATAATAAAACCGAAGTCTTGTGGTAAGTATTGTTTCAGGAACTCTTTAAAGGCACTTGTACAATAATGATAGCAAGTTTAAATTCATCAGTCTGCTCAAATGAACTCTGACTTACCAATCATATATTAGAAAAAAATCTTGCTTAAGTCACCAAATTATTTTTTTAAATATTTATGTATTTGAAAGTGAAGAATTACACAGAGAGAGAAGGAGAAACAGAGAGAAAGAGAGGTCTTCCATCTGCTGGTTCTCTCCCCAGTTGGCCACCACGGCTAGAGCTGTGCCTATCCGAAGCCAGGAGCCAGGAGCTTCTTCCAGGTCTCCAAGAGGGGTACAGAGGCCCAAGGACTTGGGCCATCTTATACTGCTTTCCCAGGCCATAGCAAAGAGCTGGATCGGAAGTGGAGCAACCAGGACTCAAACTGGCACTCATACAGGATATAGGTACTGTAGGCAGCAGCTTTACTTACTTCGCCACAGTGCCGGTCCCTCCAAATTATCTTTCCCAAGAAAAGACTGAACTGAAAACAGAATTAAATGCATACATTCTGAAATCCTTTCTCACTTAGAATCTTGACTGTGTGCTGTTTGGATTTGGCTTCAGTAGATGGCTTTAGCGAATTGTGCACCCAGGGGCGGGTGTTTTGGCACAGATGGTTAAGCTACTCCTTGGGATGCCCACATCCACATCAGAGTGCCTGGGACTCTGTTCTGAATCCATTTATGTCACAGCTTCCTGCTAATATGCCTTGGAGGCAGGAGATAATGGCCCAAGTACACGGTTCCTGCCACCTACATGGGAGACTTGGAGGGAGTTGCTGGCTCCTGGCTTTGGTCTGGTCCAGCCATGGCCATTGCAGGCATTTGGGGACTGAACTAGGAGATGAAGAGCCACCATCCATCCATCCATACCTATCTCTCTCTCTCGTCTCTCTCTTTCTGCCTCTGCTTCTTCCTCCCCGTTACTCTTTCATATAAATTTTTTTAAAAATGTGTACCCAGATATTGCCATCATTTGTGAATTTTAAGATTTTAAATTTAGATTTAAATCTTTTTAAGATTTATTTATTTACTTGAGAGGCAGAGTTACAGACAGAGTCTTCCATCTGCTGGTTCACTCCTCAAATGGCCTCAACAGCCGGACCTGGGCCAATCCGAAACCAGGAGCTTCTTCTGGGTCTTCCACAAAGGTGCAAGAGCCCAAGCACTTGGGCCACCTTCCACTGCCTTCCCAGGTCATAAGCAGAAAGCTGGATCAGAAGAGCAGCCAGGACATGAACCGGTGCCAATATGGAATGCCGGTGCCACAGGTGGAGACTTAACCTACTGTACCACAGCACCTTAACATTTAAATGTTTAGCCAGTATTTTTTTTCCTATTCTAGTATCAAAGGGAAGGTTTCTCCTTCCTGAGCCATAAATAACAGCCAAGCCAATTCAATGATGCCAAAACTTCCATCTCAAAATGACCAGGCAGACCAGGCAGGAAAGAATATGTTGGAAAATATTCCTCTCACAGCTATAAAATTTTGATTTCAAAATATTAGATTCACAGTATTAATATATTTACATCTTAAAATGCTTGGGAGAGTAGAATATAAATTGAAATGAAGGCTTGTTAAAAAAAAAAAATTCCCTCCAAAAAAATCAATCACAGGCACCCATCACAGGTGACCAAAAACAAACTACTACAAATAATCCAACTGGCAGCCAACAAAGTTGGTGGCTGATGGCGAGCACGCAGCTTCACATAATAACTTTCCCTATCACACTCTCCAGTCTTGATGGTCTCAAGTGAACAGC